TATGTTGAACACGGGGCTGATCAATGTGTGATCAGAGTAAATTTATACTTGGAATGGTATTCATTCATGAATATATAGCTAATTTCAAATATTAATAATAGATTATTACATATGTACTATTTGCTGGAGTATCCACTTGATTTCGTTGATAAAACTATACAGAACTAATTAGGTTCAAGCGGAGGTTGAGGTGTATGAACAGTGATTGGGATAATTTTGTACACAAGTACTGAGTGGCCCAGTGAGATTTCTTTGTAGGTAGATATGAATGCAAAGTATAATGAATCATCTCGGATTGCTCTGTAATTTCACAGGCACATATAGAAGTCAGGTGAATCCTTTTTTTGTTCGTTGATATAGATCAAGTTGTTTATCAATTCCTTCACCCAAGAAACAACTCGATTGGCTTGAGAACTATTTGTTTCTATGAACAGATTGTCTTCTTTTAGTTTCCATTCAAGTGTGAGAAACATATAATTAGTATTTGATTGATTTCTTTTATGATTTAGGACAGACAGTTTCATCACACTAACCATAGATTGAACGGTTGCCATCCCACAATAGGAACAGAAAATCCTTGGAAAACACGTTTCAGGAGTGATGGGTTTCGATATTTCTTTTTTTTTTCATATGTGTACTATGGATTCTGTGTTATTTAGATCAGAGATAGTTGATCGAAAACGTTCATCAAAATATTACTAAACTACAAGCTCATTACATTATTTATATAGTAGTTAATAGCTTCATATTTAACACTTTTATATCAATTTCCTGCCTGTCTGTCTATCTGTCTAGAAAAATAATTTTTCTCTTGACTGTAGAGAACATTTCATCACTTTAGAAAATCAGATATTTCAGTTCCATAAGTTCTAGTCGAATAAAAGCATACATTTTTTTAAGATCTCCAAGATTTTTTGATCCGTATTTCGATTTATCTATATAGAAAGGATGGTGGAGGTTTAACTGAAATACTATAACTACTATAAACAGGGGCATCAGTAAAACATGAGGTGTAATTTGAATAACCCAAGATATAGATATTGTTCCTGTGGTGAATTGTACAAAAGATTGCTCGACAACATTACCAATCCACAGATCTTCATAGTTCTCAATAGATCAACTTGAAAAATGTTCGTGAGTACACTCTTCAAAAACTCTATCTTCAGTCTGTATGCAAATATTGAATATCGGAGCAAATGTGAGAATATATAGGATGTTATTGTGGAAATCATATTTTTCCATATATCACGTGAAATATATAAGAGCAATCAGCGAACAACTATTTTGGTTAATAGATGAAAAACCCAAAGTCATCTCCACAACTTCTATTGAAATGATCAAAGATCATCAATGGTACATGTTTCGGGCTTATGTTATGAGCCCATCATCAGCCGATAAAATAGTTCATAGTGGAAGTGAAAAAAAATAACAGAGCAAACAGAGGCAACTGCTCCATGATTGTTAATGTAAAATAGTGTTTTTTAATAAAAAAGTATAATTTTTTTTTTTAATTCTTATGAAATGGTCATTCGAGGGTCGGGTTCATATTTTATAAGGGCCCACGTACCCTTTAATCACCGAAAAGTGGCGATTACCCAAGAAAATATCAAACTAATGAAAAGTATGATGTGGCTTCCTTTGGGTTTCATCCGGTTTCATCTATGAACTACACCACTCCACTTTGAGTTACCATGGACTTCTTCCAAAGATTATTTTGGTTAACTTACTATTTCTATTTCGCATCTTTAATGAACTTTTTATATGGCACCCCAATGCGTATCGAAACTACTTCTACTAGGACACGCTGAATTTCTGTTTTCAAAGTTGGTAATGGTAACGTCAAAACTGCCAGACAGACTATAGCGTCCAGCTAGAGACAGCACGCAACAAATTCCATGCTGCAGAACGATGTTTTAATGTATATTTCACATAGCTCGCAGGTATTTTATTCAGCGTGTGATGATCCTCGGCTGGCGCCAGCATGCTATTATTCACGCCTCAGTCTATAAACGCCTACTTCATGCCCTTGATACATAAATAACTATAATGGCAGCCTGTTTGAGAACGAGGAAAAATGTTTTTTTCAAATGCACCTTACTCTGATTACCTTTTGTGCTCACGCAATCGGTATGCCTTTTTATTTTCAACTACGTATATCACTGATATTTCATTTTCACTTACAGAAAATACATCACTTGCCGTCTACTCACTTTCATCTGAGCCATTCATTTTTTTATTTTTTATCTTCCATTTAAATCCCTCGTACCTGCTTATTATTCGATTCCCACGATCTTGCCTACTTAATGCGTGCATCAAAACAATACACAATATATACGTACAGTGGAGTACTACGTACCTCTATCATCTTTGCTAAATCTTTCAGAAAATAATTCAACCTCGTGTGGTATTCGGTAAGAAAATTTAACACCAGATTGTGTATGAAAATTAATTGTTTTAAGAATTCATTTATTTGACTTTCATATATAAACAAATTCAGTTTGCGTCGCAGGATCTTCCATTTTTTATCAACTTTTGGTTGGTAGAAAGTTATAATTCTATCAATTTTTTATAGTGGATTCATATTATCTGCAGTTTGGGCACCAATGGTTAGCCTATAAATTGATGATTTCTACTCATTGTAGCAGAATAAAATCACTATTTCAGGACGTATTATTGTATATCACGTAATATGAGTTGTGAGAAGCATATTACGCACGAATGGAAAAGTTCCATTGCTTTACAAAACGCATTAGGTACTATACTTTACTTCATCTCCGTCCATGTACAGTGTATTTGTCTTATAGTGGTCGTAGGTGAAATATTATATTCTTTCATTTTATAGTTAATTAGAGCTACTAGAACTGGTAGAAAATTATAATTTCAACGGTTGTTCATTTAGGTAGCTAGGTACATAAAAGATTTGATATGCGTCACAGTTTCGGCATCAATTTTAGCCTATAAATTGTTGATTTCTACTTGTAGTTGCATGGAAATAACATTTCAAGACTGAACATGGTTGATTTTTCAATTCAATATAAGTTTTGCGAAACTACAAGTGGTAAAATATAACATTTTTTTACTGTCAATAAAACGTCGAAAAGTTTCTGATTCAATTCGCTGTGGGGTACCCAAGAGGAATAAAAATTTACTAAAATGCATGTCAAGAAACTACAATTTGATTGGTAAAAAATTACTGCTGTGGAATTATCGTTCAAATTCACAATATATAGCTATCATAGATACTCATTTCCAAAACTCAACCCAAAATACTCCAGGTACATTTGATTCGTATTGAAAATATTATTGGGTGATATTTATGTATTTTTAACTCATTTTTGAAAGGATCATGTTGTCTATCGAAGAGGCCCACCCTTACATTTCTGTTAATTTTGAGTACGTATTGCCCTTATGTTCTGAAAAATTGTTCTAAAATTGTTCTTATCCATCATTTGATTGCCCCCTTACGAGCAACCCTCAAAAGTCTTCAAGAGACTTGTGCGAGAAAAGAATGACGGGGGCCTTACGTGTGATCTCAAACATTTCATTAGGCCATCAAAAAAATTTCTGCGGTCGTGGTGGGAATCGGTGGTAACGATCAGACCCACCTACCGGCAATCCAAGGTGGATAGAATACTGACGCTTCAACCACGAGGCTAAGCTACATTAAACCAATTCATGTTGAGACTTGCTCTACTAATGAAGTATAATACAAATTATTCTCGTTCATCAACGGATTTTTAACATTAATTTATAACGTTCAATATCATCATAAGTATAGTCCAATGCTTGAGGCTTACAATCGGTGATACTATTTTTCTCTAAAGAGGCGGAACTCAGTATGCCTGTTATAACAATTTCTGTTTACAAAAACTCGAATTCTGATTCCAATACCTTCCTTTTCTCCCTATCTTTCCTATAGGTACACACGATGTTCTTCGAATATTATAGGATTACTTTCGTGCGCTCCAAGAGATGTAAAATTCAAATGAAAATAATATTTGTCAATATCACTGAGCGGAAATAATCAACTCAGGATGTGGAGAAATGGATTCATAGTTGGTAATATTCCTACTAGCGACCCTGTATATATATAAACTTTGAAAAGCTTTGGGACATTCAACTTTCGAAATTTCAATTTTTTTCAGTGATAACTGAACAAAGTATACGTGTTGAAATATAATTCTGTACGCCAATGAGATCAATTTCATCTTGCATCTTGTTACATTGTAGTACAAATGGTTTTTATGAATCGTAGAAAATTTAATACATGCAATGTCCTCTATTTCGAAGTCATAAAAAATCACAAACACTTTGGCTTTCTTCTTCAATATTCACCTCTTCAAACATCCTCTATGTAGTATTGTTCAAGCCTGGTGTTATTATATTTCATGAAAGTGTTCGAACATCTGTCAAATATGAAATGGGGCTCTGCTAAATGAGAAGAAGAAATTATGTTCACGAAATACTTTCCTTTTATGTAAGTACCTAATAAATCATGAATGAAGGATAGCTAGGATGAAGCATTCTCAGTCTCAGTCGTATTCGTGTCACAAAATGACCCTGTGGATATAAATACGATCGATCTTCATAAGACATGACTTTTTTCAATCAAATGAATGAACATCTCAATAGACAATTAGCATTTCAGAAGATAACAGATGACTGCATCATCAACAGTGATATGGTCAGTGAATATCAGTAATGATCATCAACATGTGTGATATTTTTGAGATTTGTGAAAGAGTCAAACTATAGTATAAGTATAGAAGGAATCTATCTTTCCGCTGTATCTTTTCTCACATGAATATAACATTGTCAATCAATATCAATCATCATCAACATAAGGGAAATGAGTTGAAAAGTCAAACATAGTCCAAGTACTGTGTTTAACACTAGGAATCATAGACTTATTACCCCAAGCTAGGAATCTATTTATTTTCTGTGAACTTTCTCACATGAATATAACATTCAGAATCCTCATCAAATTCACTTTGTTTCAGTACATCATCTACTTCATTCTCGTAGTCACTTCTTCACTATGCGAAGAACTCACAAAAAAAACTGAAGAGAAAGCAAGTTCAGATGTCAAACCACAGGAGAACATCAAACTACGTAGATCTCTTCCATACAGCAAAACAACACAGACTGAACCATCCTTAGTATCCAAACTAGGCAGTTGGCTATTTCCATCAAGAAGTTCAACCGAACAAAAGAATGATGATCAAACTCCAGCAGCAGCAGGTTATAGTGGACCCCACTATCTCCCAGCACCTTATGACGACTCTACAGGACTCGAACAGGATTGCCACTCTTGTAATCAAATACCCTGGATACCCGTTATCGGGCAAAAACCCTTGGAATATGCCTCATCATTCGAATATTCCGGCCACCCTGAAATACATAGTGGGAAACTTTTCAGCGGTCCCGAATACCAGTTTTCATCACCTAGCGCATCGTATGATTCACCAACACCACACTACAATTCGAAAGCAAATGGGCCACCATCTACACAGCAACTGCCAGCTCCTGGTAATCCGCCTGCCTTCAAGGACTCTATAAACATTCCAGTTAGTGGAGACATATTCATAGCCGACTATATGTTACCACCCCCGATCAACCTCAGAATTCCTTCTCTATCATACGGACGCCCAAAAGAAACGTATGGACTTCCCACGCCTACCTATGGGCTTCCAAAACCAGTATATGGTGTTCCTCAGAATCCAAGACCTTCTCCGCGTCCCTTGAAGCCAGTGTATGGTCCTCCGAGTCCTCAGTATGGGCCACCATCGCCAGACTTCACTCCCACTCCGTCTCCTGGACTGGATATCAGGCTTCCCGTTCAACCAGAATACGGCCCTCCTAAGCCCCAGTATGGACCACCACCAGCAGACGGGGTTCTTCCTCCCCCAAGACCTACCAATGGATCATTTCCCAACCCTCAATACGGACCACCGAGACCATTCCCTGAATATGGACCACCTCCAACTGGTGGTAATGTTCCCCCTCCAAGACCTACTGATGGATCATTTCCTAATCCCCAATATGCACCTCCAAGACCATTTCCTGAATATGGACCACCTCCAACTGGTGGTAATGTTCCCCCTCCAAGACCTACTGATGGATCATTTCCAAATCCCCAATATGGACCTCCAAGACCATATCCTGAATATGGACCGCCTCCAGCTGATGGTATTGTTCCTCCTCCAAGACCTACCAATGGATCATCCCCCAATCCCCAATACGGCCCACCAAGACCATTTCCTCAATATGGGACACCATCTAACGCATTTAGGCCACCGAATCAATATGGACCTCCTGCTAGACCTAGGCCGGTACCTCGTCCAGGATATGGACCACCAAACAGTAATATCAATCCACCTGTCCCAAGACCACAATATAACATTCCTCCCCAGTCATCATCCAACTATTTACCACCACCGAACTATGGACCACCCCCAGTTTCTGATTACGGAGCTCCTCCACAACCTTCATACGGTCCACCGAATGTAACTCCTATACCTGTCTTACTACCTCCCCCAGCAACTGGTAGTCCAGAACCGCAAGTTCAATTTTTGCATGTACCTTTCGAAAGCATACCCACAGATCAAGGCCATTTCCAAATATCTTCTAGCGTTGAACCTCACAGTCAGTTGCAGTTGGCTTCCAGCGTAGAACCTGCTGAACAGAACCCAAGCTTCATTCCACCTGCTGTGCCATCAGATAGCTACGGCAATGCGGTGACAGGAGACAGTTTGCAGTATACCCCTCCTACAGATACTGTTTATTCATCTAGTAGTGACCGAGATATAGTACGGAAGCCTCCCAATTTCTCGAATTTCAATCAATTGCAGTACGAATTCAGGAATTATAATGAAGGCATTACATCCCAAAATGCTGGATATCAATCACAAAATCAACAGAGCAATAATGTTGAGATACAACCTAGTGTTCAGGTAGCTAACTATTTGGCTTCAGTTGAACACCCAGTTAGTGTGGTACAATCTCCACTGTTTGAGGTTTCTGTTAAAGACGAGCACCATGGTCAAAATTCTGAAGCAAGACCAACTTCTAGTTATGATTATATCAATGAAGGTAGTCAAAAAGGCGATGATCACCTTTCTAACAATCATGCATCTTTCAAACTAAGCGAGAATCCGATAGTTGTAGAGGATACCTACACTGCTTCTAGCAATATCAACAGTTCATTTACCAATTCTAACGATACATATGTGAATCAAAATCACAACTTCGCAGTATCCTCTCTCGATGAATTGAATGATATCAAGGCTACGAGTAGTGCGCAAGATGAAGAAGATCTCATAAAAAAATTGCTCTTGGAACAAGGCATACTCGGAAATCCTAGTGCTAGTATAGTGGGAATTCAAAAAGCTGATCCAACCAGTGGAAATTATAATTTCACGCCTCCTTCCACAGATTATGGCAATTGGATTCCAACTCATGATAACAGGGATTCTCTGAGTACTTCAATGGTTCCTCCAGCAGAGAACATTAAATCGATCTGGCCACAACAAAATACTGTGTCGGAACCACGAAAACCGTTGCAAATCATCGTACCGTATACGACTAATAAGCAACAATGGCATCTACAGAATGATTTGAGGAAAACAAGTGATGGCTATACTACTCTGATACCTACTTACATGCCTCCGATGTCAACAGAAGAGTCAAACTGGTCGAAATTCCTCGAAGATTTCAAGTTGGCTCAGTCCAACCAAGCTACTGCCAGACCATTCACGAAACCAACTACAGCTGTTTATAACATCAAGGACTTGCTGACATCCGCGTATGACTCTAGCAGTGCAACTTCGATCAAGTTGCCCTACGATGTGATATCCCTCCAAAAAAATATCGATGATTGGACTCATCAGTCTTTCTCCAGAACAAATCGAGAGAAAACTGGAGGTTTTGCAGCTACTAAGAACATCCCGAATGATTTCTTCTCCATACAATCTCATACTCTCATTGATAGTTCAACACCAAGGACCAATATATTCGATCATGCGATAGCTAGCTCTAATAAAAAAGAGTCGGTTGTTAAGAATGAGGAGATCGAGACTAATATGATTGCTGATGAAGACACTTCAACCGTCAGGTCTACCACAGTACCTTCTACTACGAGTTCACCTTCTACTACCACGTCTTCTTTACCCTCTGCTAGAAAATTCCAGCGCAACCTATGGGATGAAGCACAGGTGACAGTTTCTCCCTATACCAAAGAAAAAGTATATCTAGTGACTCCACAGTCCTACAGTTTCTACACTACACCGGCAACTGCTTGGAGTATGGCTCCCAAAGTAGAGAATGGTAGAGCGAACAATGCTATCTTTGATAGTCAGAGGTTTGCTGTGAGATTTGAACCGCAGGATAAGGATCCCAAGAAATCTAAACAGAAAGAGTATCCGAATAAGACGTTGCTGAAAGTCGTCTATAGCGAATGGCCACATATAAGTAAGCCTTTTTAACTTACTCTGTTCTTTTATTTGGTTCCCAAACCGTCAATTTCAAATTCTGTTAGCTAATAAGATTGAGTTGGGACCATTGATTGGTGAATAAAAGAATTGTGTGTTGAAGTGATATTTTTGTTACAGTCAATAACCTTCAAACAACCACTGAGAAGCCGACCTCAAGTCACCCTCTTCTTGGTTCTATGAGTATACCAGAGTACGTACCACCTCTAAATTTCTCCGCACTGGAAACGATAGTGGGTTACTCCAAAGTAAGTTCACTGAAGTGGTACATAATATGAAATACACTCACCGGCAAAAAAACTGGCAATCAAAAACATTAACCAAATTGGTTGCTCTATAACTCTTTCAATTCTTGTCCGATTTTGGTTAAATTCCAATCAAATCATTTCCACTTCGTTTCTCAAGCACTCACCAGCAAAGAAAAACCTCCATCGCTGAAAACAATTGAAAACAGACCTTTCAGATGTTGTCAATAATAAGTATGTCCTCTTTGAACTTGAACTACCTACAGCATTCAACCATCGTAGTATCGAGTTGATCAAATTTCTCGAGCAGTATTTCAAGGGTGAATAGTCCCTCTGGAATTGTCTCTGACAAGGTCAGACGAAGGCAAATGAGCCTCTGGAGTTCATCTCAAAAATGCTGTTTATTGAAAAGGAATATTATTACCCAATTTTTCTGAACCAAAAATTTTCTAGGAAAAATATGAGTGTTAAGTGAATTGGGCGTCCTGATTCCGAATCCGAAGTGATTTTCAACCCATTTTGACTCATAATATCATTTTCCGGAAATTGGGGTGGTTCCATGGCTGTTGGCGAGCAGTGTATATCACTGAAGACCACCCCACTTGGTCAAAGAGTGCAATTTTGGTATATCTCTCGCTCCAGAAAATTTCGGGATCCTGACCCAACGATTACGTAAGATTCAGGGGTGTTTCCATTAGAAATGGGTCACACTGTATACAGGGTGATCCACGGTGGATGGCCTATTAGAGGTATCTGGAGAACGAAAAGACAGAACATCTGGAAATTGGGATCCTTTGATAAATGAACATTTTCTATCCGTCTAAAATATTTTCATCGACACAGTGTTGCCACTTCTATTAGAAACATCTAGCAACTTTGTTATTTCCAACGGAACACCCTGTATTTCATTGCATTTTTAGATTCTTCCTGAAGAGCTGATTTCATCAATGCGTCACACTTGGGGTCTAGCAAGAATGATTACAGAGATATAGGGTGTTCAAAATCGAGATTTTTCAATTTTAATATTTTTTTGTGTCGAAACTATGCATTATCGATCGAAACGGTTCACATGTCCCTATCTCAACTTTTGATTCACTGTCTACTGACATTTAATTGGAACAGATACAGGGTGATCAGAATTCTGAATCTTGAAGCACCCTCTATTTTTTTCAATTAAATTCCAGTGGATAGTGAATCAAAACTCAAGATAGGGACATGTAAGCCGTTTTGATCGATAATGAATAGTTTCGACACAAAAAATCTTAACATTGAAAATTCCTGATTTTGAACACCCTATATCTCTGTAATCATTTCTGCTAGAACCCAAGTATGATACATTGATGACATCAGCTCTTCAGGAAAAATCTAAAAATGTGATGAATTACAGGGTTTTCTATTTGAAATAACAAAGTTGCTAACTGTTTCTGATAGAAATGGCAACACTGTATCGATGAAAATATTTTAGACGGATAGAGAATGTTCAATTATCGAAGCATCCCACTTTTCAGAATGTTCTGTATTTTAGTTCTCCAGATACTTCTAATAGGCCATCCACCGTGGATCACCCTGTATATAAAGAAATACATTGAGAATTCGCATTCTATGTGCGATGAAAATATCAATTCTTTCTCGTTTTATTCAACAGAAAACAACTACTTTCCTGGATATAGTCAAGACGAACATTGAATAATATCTATTGAACACACACGATAAGAATTTTGAAACAAAATCTTCTGAAGTTGAGAATTAGCATTCTCCTTCAGATAAAAATATGTATATGCACATAATATCATTCTGAATATTCAACAGAAAACAACTAGTTTCTTCAATCTCAATTGTTTATGAGTTGAGTTATCTGAATTGATATTCTATTGAAATTTCAGGAATATTGAGTGAATTCAATACGGGATTAGTGCAAATCCAATCTAGAATTAGTTTCAGAAGAAATCATCTGCGAGAAGTTGATTGCAGTATCAGAGTGAGTTTGTCACAGTATTTTAACTCTGAAAACATACTATGTGATTTTAAGTCTAAGCGTTTTTTACTGTGTAACTGTTCCGTGGATCTAATTTCTTCATACTAGCATAAATTGAATACACCTAGATAGTACCTGCACTTGTTTTTATAGCAAACTATTTTTCTTAATTATGGTCCTTTGTTAATGAAGAGCATAGAAGATTCATGTGTAAAGAGCCTTATAATTGTTACTTTGATGAAGAAAATGAAGGTGAAACTGGAAGTGTAGATTTATAATTCACAGCAGTTTTAATAAGAACAATTTAAAATTAGGTTAGCGACTCGTGGGAATTTAAGAAGGATAATTGCTATTATCTAGTTATCATGAATTTCTCTAATCGAGCAACAAATGAAATGAAACTCTGGTTTCATGATAACAGATGGTGAAAATTCCGAAAATTCATTATGATGATAATACAGGGTTAGTCACAGAGGTGTACCTACTCTCTTTGAAGAACCTGTCATATACAAGGTGGTACATTTTGGTTTTTTTTTGGAGCGCACGAAAGGGAATCCCTATAATGTTCAAAGAACATCGTGCGTTTCTAGGGAGGATAGGGATAGGAGGTAGGTATTGAAATTTTTTTTGAACTTCTGGAGATTATATGTTGTTGGGAATACTTCCTCAGGCAATGAATTCCAGAGCCTAGCCGTTCTATGGATGAAGGAGTTTTGATAAAGTGCTGTTCACATCTTTCGAGGTTGACAACGAAAGGGTGTGCTGACTGGGCTTGTCTAGTTCGCCTGACTGGTATTGCTAGTGAAGGGATGATATCAGAGATTTCCGAAGAATATTTCCCGTGGAAGTATCGATAGAAAAGTGAAAGGTCGCCGACCTTTCTACGGTGTTCCAATGATGTCAAAGAGTGAGTGAGTGTGGCGTCACCCACCAGGCGGATGGCTCTTCTCTGGATGGAATCCAAGAGCATCAGCGTATGTTTTGATGCTGAACCCCATATGTGGGAACAGTATTCCAGAACAGGCCGTATCTGCGCTTTGTAGATCATGAGGAGCTGTTGAGGTGTAAAGTAGCTTTTCGCACGGAACAAGAATCCGAGTTTTTGTGAAGCAGCTTTTGCGATGGATCTCACATGATTATCCCATGAAAGAGTATTGCTGATGGAAATACCGAGCATAGATATGGTGTGCTTGGTGGGGATGGTGGTGCCAGACATCACAATGTCGGGCATACTGAGTTCCACCTTTCTAGAGAAAATACAGGCTTGAGTTTTGGTGGCGTTGAATTCAACTAGGTTGTTGGTTGCCCAGGCTGTGATTTCAGCAAGGTCTTCATATTGACAGCATTGACCTGTCTGTGCCGTGATAATTTAGTTTCCTGGCAAGAAATGGGAATTCTGGAAGAGAACGCAGTATGGAGGGTACTATCATCTGCAAAGCTGTGGATGGGGCAAGTTGTTACTCCCAACAGATCATTGATATGAAAAAGGAATAATGTTGGTGCCAAAATTGATCCTTGTGGAACGCCGGAATTGATGCCAATTGTATCAGACGATACACCGTCCACACCACAACAATTCAACAGTGTGTTGTACTGCTTGGAATAATGAAAAAAGATCATATAAACGTATACTTTTAAACGCGTCGTTTTCGAGATATATAGGTTGTTGCAAATACGAGTCTAAATATTATTTTTTGATGTAAAGTTCCAAACTTTTTGAGATAAATCAACCAAATTTCTCACAGATAGTAATTTTTTTATGCTCTATAAGATGAAATTGAAATTATTTCAAAAAGCAATTCAGTGGCAGCTGCATCTGGGGGTAGTGAAGGTAAATTAAAATTTTATTGTGTTTGTCCACTTATTATTTTTTGTTAGAGTTCGAGAAATCGTGCACACAATTTTGACTGGCATTCATCAAAATTTGAGTTCTTCATGAAACCAATTGTGCATTTATATTTTGACGAGAAGCTTCACTCAATAGGATTTTTTACCGTGCACCGGTGTTCCGAAATAAGGTGTATAGGAGGATTTCAACCACAGATTCTATGAACAAAAATAGTAAAGAAACTTCTTATAAACATTGGTCCAGAAATGCTCCCTGGGGGCTTATAGCCATCTGAAGAAGGGATTGAGATGATGCTTTCGAATGAATACTTTTGGAACCCCCAGACATAAAATCACCAAATTTTGTTAATATGATTGTAGATTGTAGATGGGTCGTATAGGCTGAGATACCTCTCGATCACTGCGACCTAGAAGATCTATTGTGATTACCCCTATCTAGTTTTGGTCCTCTAATCCTAGACTTCTAATGAAGCCTACGATTTTCCTGACGGTTGACTTTTCCACTTCAGCAGGCGTGAGATAGACCTGTTCTAGGTGGTTTAGCCTTTGGCGGACTAATACTTCACATGAGCAAAGTATGTGTTCCGCGGTTTCGGTCGCATTGTTACAAAAGCGGCAAGTGTCAGTCTCCGCCAGACCCATCCTTTTGAGGTGATACCTCAGAGGGCCGTGTCCTGTGAGAAAGCCTGTGATAAGCTTTAGCTCTGGTTTGCTGAGGCTGAGTAGCTGTTTGGCTCGGTTCTGCGAATGGTTGATGAACCTTTTCGCTTGTCGTTGACCTGGAGTTGCTCTCCAGTAGGAGGACTTTTCAATTTCTTCCCATTTCCCGAGTTCTCCCTTCAGGTGACATTTGCTTATCCCACAAAAAGGCTCAGGACCAAAAAGTGCAGATGCTGCACCTTTTTTTGCAAGGCGATCAGCTGCCTCATTTCCTTTGATTCCTTCATGACCTGGAACCCACATAAAGGTGACTTTGTTGCCGTTTCTATTACTGACACAAAAATAGGTATGTTGCTAGGCAACACATTCAGTTCCTAGGAGCTAAAGATGACCTCTAGCTCCTAGGAACTAAAAAGAATGTACTAAACGTCATCAAGAATAAACAACATTGTTACTGTTGGTTATTTGTACGCATACCGATTTCGGCAGATTAAGCATTTCATACCCATGCTGGAGGAATAAGTACACCTTACACCAGTGTGTAGTGTACACCTTATTTTTGTTTTGATCAGGAAAGCCTTCAAGATTCACATACTTGCTTGATCTGTATTTCATTCGTTATTCTCGGGATAGATAACTTGTTTTTGAATAATCACGGCCAGTAATAGTTTTTTGTCTCAAACAACGATATTGTGTGCTGCTGTAAATGCAGGTAGAATATTCTCACCACACGGATTATTTGTTGCATTGTATACATATGGCACGGCATTGGTGGTTACTTCACATATTTATTTGAGTTGATTGTTTCGGTTGCTGAAAAAATAGCATGTTTTATTCGCAAATGCAAAATTCGCTTGTCAAACAAAGTGTCACTTCTGGTCCTGATAAACCAATCTACTACAATCTTGGAAATGGCGAGTGCTATCGGAACTACCAGGAGAACTATTCATAATTCTAAATTTTTCGGGATTTTCTCTCCTCGTTCCTATAGAATTAAAATATGAATATTATTTCAATATACGTGTAGTAAGGACAAATTAGAAGATTTGCCCCAGAATGTCACTGCGTTCAAAGAAATTTCCTATCAGAGAGCCTAAAAGAAAAATTGACTATAGCTTGTCAGTGACAATTTGAATTGAAAAAAGTTTGAAGAGGAGAAATAAAGGTATATAGGAAAAATTTTTTGTATCGCAAATTCGTATTTGTCCTGACAATTTTCAGTTCCCAGTGACAATTGGTGACGTTGGCAATCAAATGAGTTACAGGATGTTTTCATTAATTGATTAACTCATTTGATTGCCAACGTCACAAATTTTCACTAAGAACGAAAAAGTGTCAGGACAAATACGAATTTGCGATACAGAAAATCCATTTTTTATGTCGAAACCGGGAGCAGATTCGTTTTCGAAACGTCCAAAAGCTAAGTGAAAATCTGTTATTTTTTCTATATACCTTTATTTCTCTTCTTCAGAATTTTTTCAATACAAATTGTCACTGACAAGCTAGTGCATTTTTCGTTTAGGCTCTCTGATAGGAAAATTCTTCAAACGCAGAAACATTTGGGGGCAAATCATCTGATTTTTCATGTCCTTACTACACGTATATTGAGATAATATTCATATTTTCATTTTATAGAACGAGGAGAGAAAATCCCAAAAAATCTGGAATAATGAATGTACCACCTCCTCGATTAACCTACAGACAGTATTTAACAAATAGGAAACTATTGTAAGGTGAAAATGATAATATTTCAATATTTCTAGATCAAACTGCCGAAAATTGCATAAACAAAGAAGCTATGTGAAAAAGTGCCCCGAGCTTCACATATTTTCAATACAAATTGAGCATAAAAAGTTAGTCGCAATACATGTACAAAATTTGATTATGTCATCACAAGGGATTTTAAAAATATTTACAAAAAACCATCATGTCGGACTATGCTTCATATGGCTATATCCCCCCAGGGGATCATTCCTTGACCAAAGTTTATTTAAACCTCTCTCGCTATATTTGTTCCTAGAATAGGTGGTTGAAATATTTCTATATGATTACGAGACACCCTGTATAAATCTCATACTGATCTTTTTCGTCTTTCAGGTATCTACAGTAGCAACATCTCCATCTACCCCAAAGAAGCTAGATGAACCGTCTGAAAGTAGTACTTCTGTATCTTCCAGCAATCTATGAAAATCTCCGTGTACATTCTGCAATGATCTTGGAATACATTAACCAAAAAAGTCCTGTGATTGTGAAGTATAAAAAGAAGAAAGTCGAAATAATGTTCAACATTATAGGTTCTTATCATAACCTGGAATATTGTGTACCTACAGATGGTGAAGGCACCAATAAGCTGATGAAGTTTTGTGTTTGTGCATATAGTTTCTGGACAAAATCTTTCAGTATGACTTCAGACTGGTCTACTGTTGATCATATACAATGCATATAGTTTCTGAACAAAATCATCCAGTATGACGTCAGACTGGTCAACTGGTGATCATATACAATGAGGAGGTAAAAAGTCTTCCCCCTCCTTTAAAATTCAGACAAAAAGGTACCTCTTTCACTACAACTTGACATGAAAATGGTTGTGGGAACGTGACCTAGTGTTAAGTGGGCATTATCAACTTTTTTTTTCAAATATAAAGTGGGGTCACGTGGTAATTTGTTTTGAAGGCTTTCCGATTCTCTATCCAACACCGCTTCGTTTGTACAAATCGACCAAGCCGTTTCAAAATAACAAGCGTTTGAATCATAATATTAATGAATGAAAAACCTGACCGACCCCGCTAGCTTGTTCCGTTCGAAGGTAAAAGGGGGGGGGGAGGACTCTTTACGTCCTCACTGTATATGATATTTTCATCGCACTGTCATTGTGAATACGCTGACCACTTGTTATGATGTTTTGAACAATGAGACACCGCTATTCAGAGTTGTTGCAATATCCGTCAGATTTTTTTGTATGCGCTCTCAGTTTGTTACTGAATTTCTCAGCTATTTCATGCAGCTTTATTTCGACTACATCAATATGATAGTAGCAAGACAAATAAGGAATAATATGTTTTATTCTTTGTTTCATTGAACGAAAATTATCTCATGGACTGGCGTTCTTGCTTGGCCGCACAGCCTACCCATAATACTACTTCTACTACTACTACTTTCTGGGACACGAAAAATAGATTTGTCGAATCAACACATAATGTGTCTGATATTTTTTATTGAATTGAACAAATTCTCCTTAAATTAACTATCCACATCATTATTTCGGAGGACCAACTTGCTTTAACCAATGATATGTTTCGACGCTGTTAATATGAAATCCATACACAGAAAACTACGTTCTTTTTGAAGGTTTTGATAATGATCCTATAACTCGAACAGTTATGATATTATCAAAACAATTAGGAGACCGAAAAATGCCATATCAAGATGAAGCTTTTAACAAGTTTGCTCCAACCTTAACGTATGCTCACAATATATATATAATATATCCAAAAACTATATGTCGCTTCATTTTATTCAAATATATAGGGTGATGAAATACTCAAAATCAATGAAATATTTTGATTGATTACACTAAATGGCGATATTTCCATCTCGTCTACGCTTCCGTCTCATTTTTGGAACATCACCTGGCATAATCAGATGCTGAAAATTTACTAGTTATCTTAGTCTTTTTATTATATTTTGGAAACTTTTCATAAATTCACATTAATCTTTCGAATCAATATACTGAATTTGGTTCAAGCAAACAATTCGTCAAATATTTCAGTGAATCAATATCTCCATATAGTTCAAATATGTTACATTCGAATTGAAACATATTGTCATGTATAATTACTTGGAAATTGAACAAAATGACTATTCTAGCCCAGTCAATATCTCTTTCTGAACAATTCACGGAATGTTTTGGTCTACTGAGATCAAGAAACATCCACTTGAAGCAAACTGAAATTCGCTTTGGAACAATTTATAAGTACTTCTACTTATTTCAACGTTATGATTATTGTGTTATGCATGAAACTGGCATTTGCTTGATTGAAATGTATCTGCTTAATGACTTCTTTTTACACGTAACGGTACGAACAAAATACACATTTTTGTGTTCGTAATTGATCGATCTTTGAGTAAACGAAAGGAAGAGTCAATATTTTTCATCTATGTAGAATTTCAGGCAAGTAGGTATAGTTATCAAGACTTCATTGAAGAATTCGAGTTATTGTAGAAAATCTCGAATAATCTGCAATCTTGTATGTTATTTATGATAAAAGAATGAAAGAAGGATGGAACTCAGTAATAGAGGCATCTATTCTCATTATATTCAATGGTTATTTTTTGGTACATTTCACTATATATTGCAATGAATCTTGAACAGAAATAGGTAAACAATGTATAGTAATCTATAAAATATTATATTCAATTGTTTTTGTATAAAAATGTAGGGAATGAAAAAATAGAGGGACTTCGCACATTCTGACTAATTGGACAAGGAACTCTTAGGCATCTGTTGAAATCTTGTATGTACTTATGCTGGGTGTTTCCGAAATTGGAGCAATAAATAAAATGGATTGTTGTATGAGACATAATGGCACTATATAACCAGGCGATGTCTAACAGTACTTACAGCAGACTTTTTATATCAAAATGTACAAACTTCCGTTTCGTTTCTTGTCGTCTTCTTTCCACTTTTACTGATAGGTTTAATTTCAGAAATATTATTCCTAAGACAAACTTTCCATCCTAGGTATATGTATCCACGAATCACAGGACTATTCAATGATTTTGTAAATAATTCTACTAATATAAGAAACAACATTTTTGTAAATATATTTTAATTTCTCTATAATATTTTATTATGAACTCAATTCATTTCGTTCATATATCTGAGTTCTCAACAGAAATTCATTCCACTACAATGATCATAGTGGAAACGAAATGCGAAACTGAGACAATCTGGTCATTTACTCGATTTATTTATTGTATAGCATAAGTGTTTTTTATAACTGAATAATAATAAATATTCAAATGATAACAGTTGGCTAATTATTCTGTCGAGCCTTTTTCCTTTGTGATTTTTTATCAGGAAACCATGAAAATTAATCATTCTTGAGTTATTTGTGTGATAATTTAGGAAATAAAGTTCATATAAACATGTGTCCTAACTTGCTTTGTAATCGAGATACAGGTTTATTTCCATGAAAAATCTATTTTTCTATTCATTTCTCAATTGCCTTTCCATCAATTTCAATAAAACGTTGTAGTTTTGTTGATAGTAATATGGTGCTTCTTTTAGTGCAAATTTATTCATATTCATGGTGAATGTCATTGCATGTTCACCACCGGTTTCTCTGAGTTCCATATCTTCATTAGATCAAACTATTGAAATAACAACTTTTTATCCCATGTGTGATTTTTGTATCTAGCTTGGTTTTTGAGGAAACAATAAAGATTCGATTTGACTCCGAATTTTAATGTAGGTGTTCTCAAGACTACCATTGAGATTACTTAATAACCCCAATCAGATAAATTCTGAAATTTTTTGACTTTCTCAGTCTTCATCCATACTGAATTTTGGCACCATGAAAGTTCGTACAGGAGGTTTATAAATAAAAACAATAAATACTTCCAACTTCAACATCCTGTATCTCAAAAACGATCACGTTAGGACACATGTTTATATGAACTTTATTCGCTAGGATGTCACAAGGAAACACCCCTTGAATGTTTTCGGTGTTATTTAGATACACCCTGTATAACACGAGAGATACTACTTTGAAAGTGAAACTGATGGTTGAAATATCATGCAGACAGTGAATTAAATGGATTGCAATCAATGTCATTAAGAATGTTCTAGAATCCTTATTTGATGATGTTCTATAATATTCGAGTGCTCTAGAATGTCTAAGAATCCCCAATGTCAGAGAATACTGTGAAATGTTATATTATATTCGAGAATGCTCTGAAATATTCTAGGATGTCCTAGGGAGAAAGAAACTCCTAATTATTATCAATTTCAGTTCGATGATCTTGTACTCTCCAGATATCTTCGTTTATAACAATACATACAGATTGGAAACATTTTGTAATAGACTACAAGCCCATGCTATTTTTTGGAGGGGTCATTTGACCCAGCATGATATTCAAAATTATATTACCATACGAAGAAACTCCTTTAGGCACTGTGTCGTCAGTTGGGAGCGGTACATATGTGAGTACTGAGTTGAATAAATCATTATTATTTAGGACATTGAAAGGAAACATGATTATCAGCTTGCGTGGAGGACATTTATATTGAATGAATATCTTGAGTCCAATGTATCCCACCGATGGATGTCCCTTAGGAGAATATTCTTGTACTCATTACTTAGATGAATATATGCATGAATTATCTATAGGAGTTCCTTCCGAGGTCATAACAGTTCATGTACCAATTGGGATAATGGATGTCCCCCTCCATAAGAGACATTTTAAATGTTATACTATCCTGGAAATATCAACAGCGTCCGTGCAGATATATTTGAAGAAATGTACCGTCTGGGATATTTCATGGTCGTTCTGGTAGGGACATTATATATAGGATCTCAAATAATGCCAGAAAATGTACTACTTGGGGCATCCGATGGCTGTTTCTCGAGGAACGTTTGGAATTATATATCATCATTGACAGGCTGAGGACGTCCTTGCTTGGACATTCTACAATGAGTACCACGTGGATCGTCTAGAGGATGGTATTTCTAGGACGTTTGAAATGTTGTACTGGCTTGGACATCTCATGGACGTCTTTGCTCAAACATTGCATGATTCGTAACCCTTATAGCACACAACGTCCTAGGGATGTCCCTAATTGGTACAATTCAAGTCCAAATATCCCGGACCAAAAATAAGTGTCCTTGGGACGTTCCATCTCCCCCCATTCCTGATGGTACATTTCTTCGAATATCTCTGCACAGACGCCCTTAATATTTCCAGGATCGTATAACAATCGAAATGTCTCTTAGAGACATCCTTCGATTATTCCATAGGGTTATCTTTTGGATGTCCCAATTGGTACATGAACTGTACTCTTCCCCAATGTCCAAGAAATAACGTCCTATGGACGTCCCAGTCGGTCCTTTCAATATGTTGTCCCTGCGAGGACGTTAATTTACACCTCGCCGGCGAATGATTGCTCGTAGGCTATAAATACTCCCTGTCAATGTCCTTCACGTAAGTTCATCGAACATCCTTGAGAAACTTTTTCAGGATCTATTGAAAACCTTCTACGGACCATCAACTCAACTGGATGTCCTCATCAGTTATGCAAGATCTGGTCCTAGAGGGACCCGAAGAAATTCGAATTCAAGAATAATTCGCACGTTCCTGGGACATCTTATGAACATTCAATTGCTATCCCTCAGCGTTGCTGATAGGTTGTCCTACGGATGTCCTAAGGATGTCCTCTGTAGTGCTTGATGAGGAATACTCTAGGATTTAGGTACTTTATAGTTGTCCCAGGGACATTCCTCAAGGACGTCACTAGTTGGTCCTCAAGTGGGACATTTGGGCGTCCCAAAGACGTTCAATAGACGTCCACAGTACCAAATTCGAACGTCCTATGGGCGTCCTGAATGTCCCGACAGGACTTCCTGAATGTCCAAACAGGAGGTTATTTGCCTCGGGGAACACCTCCATTGGCAATGTATTCCAGAGCCGCGCTGTTAGCTGAATGAACGAGTCTTCTTTTCTGAGATGTTCTGCAGGTCTCCAAAGTGATCACGAAGGGGTGCGAAGCCTCAACTCGACGGGTTAATCTCGCGGGGACTGCCAAGGGAGGAACAATTGTTGATATTTCAGAAGAGCATCGTCCATGAAAATGTCTATTAAATAGAGCCAGATCGCCAACTTTTTCACGGTGTTCGAGAAAAGTTAGTGAGTTTGTGAGCGAGGCATCACCCACGAGACGAATTGCCCTTTTTTGGACAGAATCCAACAGTTTCAGGGTATGTTTGGGTGCTGCACCCCAAATATAGGACAGGTCGGATCTGTGCCTTATAGATCATAAGATTAGATCCAGTAGCACAAATCTTGGCAGGATATTGGCTCCATAATGACCCATTATCGAAAATATTAGGCCAATATGGGGCCAATACCCAGACAAGATTATGTGCTACTGGGAAAACATTGTCTCACTTGCCCCTTCCTCAACCTACGCGACTGGTAAAGAAATAAGTGTGAACATTAACGCACAGTTTACAGCGTTGCCGTTTTTCAAATCAAACTCTTCCTAACTCATTTAAAACTTCGGAAGTATGAATGATTGTGAACAAAAAATACTGTTTTACGAATGAAATGTGATGTCTCCCCTCTTTTTATATTTTTATGATGGTTATCGTGCCGAAAGTTCAATTTTTGGATGTTACTAAAGAATCATGCCCAACTCTACACGAAAAACATTTGTCCATCTCCTGTTTCAGTACCTGATTTACTGAACTAGATGCCCTTCTAGCAATCGCTCTTCATCCATTATTCATAATCAATATAATTATTTCGAAGTCGTTTCAGTAGATACTGTAATAACGTTTTCATGAATATAATTGGAAGTAGACTACTTGAATGCTATCTCTCTGATAAGTAGTCATAATAATAATAATGATAATAATGAGTGGCTTCATTACTTGTGGCGAAACATTCATCATCATAATTATGTTCTACTTGATCTCTGGTCTTCTCTTTCTGCTGGGAATTATCATATTGATCAGACTGTATCTGATACTGAGTAGTTCAATATGTACCAGTAAAGTTTGCTTAGTAGGAAAAACAGCTCTAGTAACCGGTGGTAGCTCAGGTCAGTATTTTTATTCTTATTATCCCAACCAACCTTTTCTCCCAGTATCTTGAAGTATTGTTCATGTAAATTGACAATTATCCACTCCATCTTCAATTTACCTATGAAATCATTCTTTATTTCCTCATGACAACTTCAAAACCAAAGAGAAAACCCAAATCTCATTCAGTCATGATAAAGTCACAGAAAGATATTTTCCAAATTATTACCTGGAATTACCACCACTATTATTAGTTTGAGATTATCATATACGGTGAGGACGTAAAACGTTCTTCCCCCCCCTTTAACCTTCGAACGGAACAAGTTAGCGAGGTCGGGTAAAATTCAGGCAAAAAAGGGCTTCTTTTACTACTATTTGACATGGAAATGGTTGTGGTCACGTGACCTAGTGTCAAGTGGTCACGTGACCTAGTGTCAAGTGGTCACGTGACCTAGTGTCAAGTGGTCACCATCAATTTTTTTTTCGATTATAAAGAGATGTCATGTGGTACCTTGTTCTGAAGTCCTTTTTATTATCGATCCAACACCGCTACATTTGTACAAATCGGCCAAGCCGTTTCAAAATGACAAGCGTTTGAAAATTGCTTCAAATAATAATATTAATGAATAAAAAACCTGAATAACTTCTAATTGCAACAGAATTTCAAGAAGGAATTGTAACAAGTGCTCAAACATGCTCGAAATGTTCATCGTTCACTTATTGACACGAAGAAATCCGTTTTGGAATCCAATCATGTGACCACAACGATTTTCATGCCGAATAGTAGTGAAAGAGGTACCTTTTTGTCTGAGTTTCACCCGACCTCGCTACCTTGTTCCATTCAAAGGTTGAAGGGAGGGGAGGACTTTCGTCCTCACTGGTACTTTTAATAAAAAAATCTAAAACATCAAATAACATCCACGTCCAAAGGGAACATTTGTTCAGATCTCGATAGCAAGGCGATGGTTCTATAGTAACTAGGTTTGTGAGAACATCATTCCAATTTTTGGTAGAAGTCCATGGTTTCTCAAAGTGAGGTCAAGTATTGAATACTCAATGATACACAAATTCATCTCCACGACATTTCATGTGAATAACACATCAAAAATTGGTACATGTTTCTGACATATATAGGTCCATCATCAGCCTTATATTGAAATTAAATAATTATTGTCATAGGGATCAAAAAAGATCACGTCACCAAATTTCACATTAAGAAATTATTGATTAGGGTTTCAATGTGGAAAATTGAAATTGAAATGGAGAAACCCAACAAACCTCCGGGAAACGACCATACCACCACAAATCGTTTATACGAAATGACTCTGTGCGAGTACATTATTTCAGATAATTTGAACATTCCTAATGATACGATATAGGAAACCAAACTGAAAATTCGCATGGAAATAACATCACAACGTCACGAATGGAAGATTACTCGAAAATTTTAGTGGTCTTGAAATTCCTAATAGCCCAATCACCTTAGTATTAAATTTGACGAATAGCGGGAATCGAACCCAAAGTTTTGAAAATTTGTGAACATGTTCACTTTGGCATGACTTTCAACCAGAAAAAAGTCACCAGCTGTACCTGTAGAGCTAAATCCGCCATCTTGAAAAATGTGTGCACCTTTTCAGTTATTCGGTTATATCTCGATATCTGTTGACTTTATCGAGATCAATATACTTAGGTAAAATGAAGGTAATTGAATTTAGAAAAAAAATGCCCCCACATAAATATTCGTGTAGTCCATGGTTCATCAGTAAATCGTAAAACAATATGCGATATTTGAGAAACTTACTCACAATTATTCTGATATACATATATTCCATCTACAAGTAAATACCAGAGAGTCGGCGCCACATTCAAGGATCCTCGCAACAGCGATCGGCCATTACAGAATACCAGTGTTGCCACATATCCAGGTTTTTTCAAGTGAGCCGACCTGTAACCTAAAGTAGTTCGAAGAGCAAGAGTTTGATGTTGAAATAAATGAATTGTAGCCCCTACATAAACTCAATCGAATCAAATTTGAAATAATTCTGAGATATCTTGAATGAATATTGAAATAAAATTATTGCTTTCACCATTCATGCAAAAATAGCTGAACTTCATACAGATACAAAAAACGAAGGGTTCAAGGAACAAAGCAAGCAGTGGACAATGCGGATTCGCTAATAATATAGACATTTATTGAAATGTCTTCCTCTACCCAAGTCACCGTTGTAGGAGAAGATGTAAATCTACTTATTCTACCCATAGCTTTGGCTCTAGCAGAATGCAACATTTATTTTGTCAAACCAAAAAGAGGCAATGTAGAGTCAAAAAGGTACTGTTCCCGCGAACTACAAACCAGTACTAAATTACAGAGCACTATCCTTTTCTTACATGCCTTTGGATGTTGTGATACCACATCATGTTTCTTCAGAAAAGGGGAGTCGAAATGCTTCAAACTCATAAAGGACTAGCCGTCATTACGAGAAGTTGCGAAGACTTTCAACAACCCGGAAGCTACGAGTGGAGAAGTATCTGCAGCAGGTGAACGATTCGTTCTATCTCTGTATGGTGCCCATACAATGGAAACATCATTGAACAAGCACCGGTACAATATGTTCGCTAAATCTGCTACCAACAAGAAAGTAGATCTGGCTTCTCTGCCACCGACGGAAGCAGCTTTGGGGCAGCACTCTTTCAGAGCCAATCACCAGATACAAAAGTGGTTGGGTAATCAAAAATGTCCTGAGCTTTGGGGGTGGAAGAGGAGTGCTGTTGGTCTAGTACCTGTGCCAACTACCCTATCTGCTGCTCCAGATAATTTCTTGCAATTGCGAGGAAGGATGCACGGCATCGTTTTTTTCCGTTTCATCCCTCATAAGTAATGAATACGGACGAACCCGACCCGATGCATGTATTCTCAAATGACGAAGATGACATGCTTTATTCTCCAGAAATTTAAGGAGAACACCAATCCCTACCTTATTTCCCTTGGTCTTCACGATGTTCTCTGAACATGACAAGATATCCCTTCTCGGGGGAACCAGAACATAAAAAAAGCGAATACTGATAGGATAAAACGTAATTATGATTTCAGCCTGTCTGGACTTAAATTGAACGATTATAGCTATAAATGCTTTTCTGCAAGTCAGCAAGAGCGTATCTAACTGAATTCCCTAATAGCACACAACGTCCTAGGGACGTCCCTATTTGGTACAATTCACGTCCGAATGTCCCGAACCAAAAATAAGTGTCCTTGGGACGTCCCAACCCGGACATCTCATGCAATGTCCGAGCAAGGACGTACACGGAATGTCCCAGCTGGTACATCATTTCAAATGTCCTAGAAATGGCATCCCTTAGACGTCCCACGTGATACATATTGTAGAATGCCCATGCAAGGACGTCCTTGGCATGTCCCTGATGGGATATGATTTTAAACGTTCCTTTAGGGACATCCATCGGATGTCCCGAGTACCTAGTACATATACTGGCATGACTTCAGATCTTATATAATGCCCCTTCTAGACAACCATGAAATGACCCTGCTGATACATTCCTTCAAATATCTCTGCACAGGCGCCCTTAATATTTCCAGGATCGTATAACAATTGAAATGTCCCTTAGGAATGTCCATCGGATGTCCGAATTGGTACATAAACTGTACTCTTTCAATGTCCTAGAAATATCGTTCCATGGACGTCCTAGTCGGTACTTTCAATATGTTGTCCCTGCGAGGACGTTAACTTACACCTCGCCGACGAATGATTGCTCGTAGGCTATAAGTACTCCTCGTCAATGTCCTTCACGTAAGTCCATTGGACATCCTTGGGAAACTTTTTGGGGACCTTCTATACGGACCATCAACTCAAGTGGATGTCCTAATCAGTTATGCAAGATCTGGTCCTAAAGGGACCCAGACAAATTCAAATTCAAGAATAATTCGTACGTCCCTGGGACATCCTATGGACATCCAATTTATATCCCTCAGCGTTGCTGATAGGTTGTCCTATGGAAGTCCTAAGGACGTCCTCTGTAGTGCTTGATGAGGAATTCTGTGGGATTTAGGTATTCGATTTTTGTCCCAGTGACGTCCCTCAAGGACGTCCCTAGTTGGTCCTCAAGTGGGACATTTGTGCGTCCCACAGACGTCCAATGGACGTCCACGGTACCAAATTCGAACGTCCTATGGACGTCCTGAATGTCCCGACAGGACGTCCTAAGGATATCCATGGGACATAAGTGTGTTATTAGGGTTATAGTTTCTCAAGTCGGTTTGCAGTAGAATATCATATTTTGCCAAATGGTTGTGGCGACATAAGTTCAAAACCGTGGATATTTCGAAAATAATTGAAATATACTTTTTTACGAAAAATTTTGCTAGCTTCCTTTTACCTTATCACCTTTATCGCGATAAAATTGACAGTTACCGAGATATACGTGAAAAACTGAAATATTGCACTTATTTTCCAAGATGGCGGCGCAAGGTCTACAGGTACGGGTGGTGACTTTTTTTGGTAAGATGTAAAATTCTTAAAGGAACACGTACACCGATTTTCAAAACTTTGTCTCCGATTCCCGCTATTTTTCCTAAGGTGACTGGGCTATAAGTCAACATTCGTGTTCTGTCTATTTCATCTCTTGAACTCACGTTAACATAACAATCAACTCACCAACACATTTTTTTATGCAGGAATTGGTTATCAGACGGTTCTAGGACTTGCTGCACGAGGATGCAGAGTTATTGTAGCTGATAAAAATATCGACGAAGAAATACAAAGAGCAATGATGAAGGAGACCAACAATCCGAATATCATAATGCAGTATGTTGATTTGGCTTCATTTGAATCTGTTAGAGAGCTGGTGAACAGATTGACTGCGTCGGAAGATAAACTAGATATCCTGATAAACAATGCTGGAATAGGAAGAGGTCCTAACATTTTGTCTGAAGATAATTTAGATGTTACCTGGCAAATAAACTATTTCAGCGCCTTTCTCCTGACGCATCTGCTGGTTGGTTAGTATTTCTTGTTAAAGTACCTATCATAACTTAGTATGGATTCATGCAGCATCAATTAACAATGATCAATTTACAATTATTATCAATTATGAGTTGAACTTCCTATATTCAATCACTGTGTTTATGCAGACAATAAGAAAATTTTCATTTAGCAATTAACAAGTAGATGGTTGGTCATGCAACTTTTAACTTTTTACATTAATTGAACCAGGTTTTCTTATTGTGCGCAACTACTACGCAGATGCCCTTGTAGATGACCGAGGATTGTTCGATCCTATGATGAACAGTAACCTGAAAACATTTCCTGGTTTTGGGTTTTTCTTTTTACTTTTCATTATTCCTATTATTTTTTAGTATTGTCCCCACTTGTGATAGCAATATACCAAATTTGTGTCTGATATATTATAGGAAAAATTTCTATGGTTACCTCGAATGGCTTGGAATGAACTTTTGCGCCTGTGTATTTTTCATTTTTAATTGTTAATTTGGTTTGCAAAAATGGTAACATTTTAGCTACTCCTGACTTGTTGATTTTTAATTGATAATTGTTACTTGATAATTGTAATTCGATGCTGCATAAATTCACACTTAATAGCCACAATAGACCCATATGGGGTTGCAGTGGAAGGGCGGATGTCACCCCACTCACAGAGAGTTTATCATAATTCAACCATAACAAAATAAAGAACGCACCTCACGATTATAGAACACTAAATACATGACTTGGGTTTATATTGAGTATTGAACTGACAAGAAGAAGTTCAGTTTCAACGTCGATATCTTGCTTGCCACCTGAGCTGTGACCCCAAAAACTAAAATATCTTCAAAAAAGTTGAATTTTTCGTATTTCGATCGGATATGATTTTCTTCGCTCCATCACATACATTCATGTACGAAATTTAGAATCCACCTTTGGTGGCTTTCACCGGCTAGAAGTTATGAGGAAAAACTATTTTAATCCGATCAACTTTGGAAGGAAATATCTTCCCTTATACACATTTTGGTCCATCAGTTTATCCATCAAACTATACTTGTGTTTCATCGTTCACCTTCAGAAAGCTCGGTACACATTTTTGACTCACCCTGAATATCGGTCAGACAGGTCGAACGTTTAATCAGCGCATTCATGAACATAACATGATTTTTTTAAAAGATAACAAATCCCACATGTCAGAAGAGAACAATAGTTTGATAATGATATCGAAATTCTACACCTTGAAAATAAAGTAATGAAACTCGATTATTTTAAATCATTAGAAATCAACAATTCACTCAGTCGATCGACTAGACCTCAATAAATCCTTCCTGTTGAATTTGTTTCCCGAACTTTTCCACAGGTAACTCTACCCAACTAGCATTTATAGTCGCGATTACGTAATTACGACTATTGGGTCGACTATTAAGTAATATTTACTAGTTGCGGTTACGTTATAATTACGTCGTTACTACGTATTTACGACCAAAATGGGGAACAAATCACGAGTAATTATTACGGTTTGCCGACGTAGCGGGAACTCACACAATTACGTAATGCTTACGACCCGTCGACGTCGAAATTACGTAAAGATGTAGTAAATTTTCCTACCTGACTTTCTATTTCTTTTCCACTTCATAAAAATATTATTTTCTCTCTTTATTATTCTTCATTTCATCCATGAAGTTCACATTCACGAAAAATGAACAAGTCCAATATGCCTAACCATTCAATAAATAATACAAGGACAAACACGCGAAATAATTGATACTCGAACTTGAAAAATTCGAACAACATTCAGTTTTTCGATAAATGTGATGATTTTGCCTCGAAATTCAAGATGCGCCCACAAAATACGGCTCATTTCACCAAAAATATGGTTTTATTTCATTCGGCTATTTTTCAAAAATCATCGTAAATCATGTTAATTTCCATTATTATGCAATTTGTGATCGAACGAATGCTATTATTATTCATAAAATGATGTTTATCAACAAGAAAAACCAAAATTATTTCCTGTTCAAATGGTTATCACATCAATCAATATGGCTTCCAATCGAAAATGAATCAGAAAGTTACTTTTGGAACTCGTCAGTTATGATAACCTATGTATTGGTAACTTCAACTGAATATAATTACCGAAAAGTTGTTTCAACTATGAAGGAATTGTTTGAGTAGGAATTACCAATATGTTACTTGAAATATCACCAAGAATTGACTAAATTATTAGGTGATCGATCAAGTAACGACAACGTCGTAGAAACCTAATTGGTGACCATAGAGTAATTGCAACTGTGAAGCCTTCTTGGGGTGGTAAGCGTTACCGTAATAATATATCCAAAGTTCCGAAACCTTAAGAGTAGTTTTGAGGAGTGACAGTTTCGAAATAGTTACTTCGTAATAAGCCATGAGAATTTCTCACTTTGAAGTTATTATCTAGTGTAAAAACTACGTAATTTTCACTCACTAAATAACTATCACTGACATTTATACTATGAAGTTCTGAAATAAGTGATAAATACATTATTATCACTAAGTATAGGTAATAGTTTCTTGAACCATGGTGCCTGTGACTGAAAATGCTAGTTGGGTAATTCTTTAGGTTGGGAAGCAAGCGAGTCCATCATCTTGTGTACCCAGAGTCATTGTCAATTTTAATTACCAATTTGATTCAAATTATTATTTTGAACGTCGCATAGCAATTCATTTCTCTGCCTAGAAAGAACACCTTCTTTGCCTGTTATGTGACATTGAAGAGCCACACTTAATGTAATTTGGAGAAAGATGAAATTATGGTAGTGCAATCCTTCTGTGCATTATTCGATGATTACCTATTGTTCCAGAACTCTTGAAGAAATCTACATCCGGCCGAATAGTCTTCACTAGTTCCATTTTATCCCACATGCATAGCTTGTCTTTGAAGAACATAACTGCCAATGGAATAAAATCTTCTGACTGCACACATCTCTACCAAGATACCAAAGTAGCACTTATCATTGCCTCGGATATATTCGCAATGAAATTGAATGATTTCAATATCACCTCTAACGTGTATCATCCTGGAGTGGCGAAAACGGCTATCTTCGAGAAAACCCAGCGTTACATGAGAGGATTTGAGGACATGAAAACGATGTGTTTTGTTCGTTTATTGCTTTTCTTCTTTGGTCAGGTGAGTGCTGCTTCATACAAAATGCTTCATACAAAATGGAATCAGTCGTAATTGAAATAAAATAATATGTGAATCCAAGTCCCAACGCCATGAAAAATAGTAGAAATCTGAGAATGACATCACAAATAATTTGAAACTATCGTGATGTAAACGTGTCCCACTGTGAAAATGGATTCTCCATTAAGGGTTTCGAGTTTGAAATGGATATATCCCTAACAACACAGGGATGTCCTAGGTACGTCCCTTTTTTGTCCCGCGGTACAAGGACATGATTGGGACATCCAGGGGATGTCCTGCAGTGGTTGTCCAGTGGACATCCCGCCCGGTACATCCCTAGGTTATCCTATTCGTGTCCCTGGAGTATCTGATATCCATTCACATCAGAGTCATTGAATTTCAACAAACTATTGAGTTGAATTTTTTTGAAAATGTTTGTTTCTCTTCCGGAGAATGATTGTAATGAAAATAAAGAATAGTCTCAGAACTTCTTGAGAAATTACCATTTTTCGCAGACAGAAATCGTACATGCATAATGCCCCTCATTTTTAAACACCCAAGAATGATAATAATTATACCCAATTCCTAATAAAGTTGTATTTATTCAGGTTTCTGTAGTTAAGTCCTGTTTATAAATCTGTTCAGTACATATAAATCTTCAGGAGGCATGATATCCAATGGAGCAAGGTGCGTGCATGATAAGCCAAAGGTCCCGGGTTCAATCCTTACTCGACCTGCAACTTTTTTCGTTTGTCGAAAGGATGTCCCTGGGATATCCTTGGGACGGTCTAGGGATATCCTTTCATCGTACTTGGTACATCCCAGGGACGTACCAGAAGGACATCCCTTGGATGCCTTTTTTAGCGGCCAGCGGATGTTCCTGGGACATCCCTAGTATGTACGTTGTCTCGACAAAGGACATCCCTGGGATGTTCTAGTATAAAATCAGGGACGTCCATGGGAAGTCCCTAGGATGTACTGGTGTAGTTAGGGTAGAGGTTTCAAAAGAGCCCTATTAGTCACTACGATATAGCCACAATGCTCAAAGTGGAATGAAGCATTGAATAAATACAAGAAGGTCAAAGTCAGTTCCACACAATGTTCATAAAATGAACAACAATAGTAGATTTCGGGAGAAAAACAACTACTCTCGTGGGTAATGCCACGCAGAATATTGAATTACATCCTCCTGGAATCTATGCATCGACTCGTATGAATGAATACTGATACAAGTGATTCTTTCCTGAATGACATTTGATTTCGATTTAGCCAAGCCACGCTAGACACCTACAGACCGGTTAAGAGCTCTCTGACTCTCATCAGTGCAGGGCAGTCTCCAGCCAGCAGTCCTAAGATCGCCGACTAAGCGTAGCCTAGCCAACTAAAAACAAAGTCGGCCTTATATTCCCTTAGAGGCGTCCTCCATAGACAATATGAGAGCAACGCCATCTGAGTAGGAAAGAAGGAAAAATACACTACAAAACCAAAATTCCCATACAGGAGTGGCTGGTTGCCCGACTGGTGTAACTCAACTACGAAAGAGCCACAATGTTCAAAGTGAAATGAAATGTTGAATAAATACAAAAAGCTCAAAATTATTTTCACACAATGTTCATAAAACGAACAACAATGGTGGAGATTTCGGGAGGAAAACAACTACTTTCCTGGCTAATGCCACACAGAACATTGAATTACATCCTCTATAGATCCAACATACTGTATCAGCCAGGACCGTAGTTGTTTTTTCCTGAAATCTACCATTGTTATTCATTTCATGAACATTGCGTGGAAATGACTTCGAGCATTTAGTAATTATTTACCTTCATTAGTTATTACTGGCAAATTCACTTTGGGAAATTTTGGTGTATTCATATTCCTTCACCCGTTATACGGCATTAGGGGCCGGGCGCACAATATCTTGTTGAAAATAAATACCTATTATCTTGCAACAGATTTTCATTATCATCATCACATAGGTCCATGAGAGACTGGCTTTCCTAAAATTTCCCGAACATATGAGCAGGTCGTATAGGACCAATGAAATGGCCAGCGCGTTCGCCGGACATGGCACTTTGTGTTTTTTTTTTGTGGAGTCATTTGAAATCCGTTATTTATAAAACGAAAATCTACTGATCTGCACGATGAGAATAGAGAATGAGGGTTGAATTCCAGGCGATAACTGAAGAAACATTTCAAATATGTTGTGGATGATTATTCAATAAATCATTCCATACGTTCATTCAAATGGAAAACATACCAAATACTGTCTGTAGGTTAATCGAGGAGGTGGTACATTCATTATTACAAATTTCTTGGGATTTTCTCTCCTCGTTTCTATAAAATAAAAATATGAATGTCATTTCAATATACAAATCAGATGATTTGCCCCAAAATGTCACTGCGCTTGAAGAATTTTCCTATCAGAGAGCCTAAAAGAAAATTTCACTAGCTTGTATTCACTACTAAAATCTGAACATGAAAATGGTGAATTCAAGATTAATTGATGAAAACATTCTGTAACTCATTTGATTGCCAACGTCACCAATTATTGTCATTGAAAACTGAAAAGCTTCAAGACATATTATACTACTTCGCTATTGAAATAATCTCTTCTCATGTTGAAAACGGGAGCAGAATCGGTCCAGAAACGTCCAAAGATAAGTGAAAATTTGATATTTTTTCTATACAGGGTGAGTCATGACTAACCAGCCATAGCCTATTAATGGCGGATAGCGGAGGTCAAGGTGAGTTGATATATATGTAAAAAAATATTTTTTTCCCATTCTTTACTTACAGAAATACATGGCATTATTTGAATTCGTGGCAAAAATTCAATGAACGATATTTCAGGAACGCCTCGATGTTATCGGCTGAAATTCACTAGCAACTCACCTCTACTGACACTCCACAAGATGACGTACTATGAAAAAAAAATTCCAGATCCGGACTTGGAAAACTCATTTTCTCTTTAGATGTCAAAATGTTGACCTTCTGGATCGGATTTTTCGGAAACTTTCATCAGAATCAGAAAGATCAGGAAAAATACTACAAGTATGGCTTCTCAATTCGTACGGCACACTTCGATCGTTTTGGTAAAAAAATATCAAACAAAATACCGATGAATTTTTCTTCGATTTCGTCCGGGCATATCACTCTCTAAATTCGACTAAAAGTAATTAAATCAAATTTTTTCCTGGAATGATTCAACAGCAGACTTGAGAAAAGGTATAATTCAATAAAAAATCCAGGACCGGACTTGATTTTGGATAATAACAATTATAATTTCCGAAAAAGATTTGTCTGGATCTTAATATTAATCAAGATTCTCGAAATGTCCTCCTCCAATTTCTATACATTTTCTGCATCTTTTCGGGAGATCTCTTATGGCTTTTCCAATGATTTGCCCATTATTTCTGATTATATCTGCAGCTGTAACTATCCTCTCCCAATTTTCAATTGAAATCTTACTTCTACTTGTGATCATGTGAAAACAATGTATTCAATAAGAACAATTGTTGCTTTGGTAGCAGATTTTTTTAGAATCAGATATACGTGCCAACTTATACTTCATGGAGGGATTTTGATTTGAAGTAATACTGACTATGATCTCATTTCTTGTGAACTCTGCCAATCAGCAAATCAAATTGTGAGTTTAGTAGTTCATCGATTCTGAATACACATGAAAAGAAGGCTGTGATATATAGTACTGTATGTCATTGACTCGATTTTTGACGGTTGTTGAAACTGTATAATGACATCTAGTTCATTGTTGATAATTTCAAATACATACTGCGTTACTAATTTCATAGTTTCATATTTCATTTCATATCTTCAAAATGCCACTGCATTTCACCAACGTTGAATATGCAGATATTATTTTTGTATAGTTTTTACTCTGACCGGAGAATACCAAACCGCAACACTTTTGCAAGGGTTTTTCAAGTCTCGCGGGAACATGGACGATTTTCTGGAACCAGTAGGAACCTTGAACCGGGGATAAATGGTGCTCGATGTCAAAATATTATCGATATGGTGGAGCAGAATCCAACAACAAGCACGAGAAGAATAGGGCATTCGTTGGGCATTTTGCAATCGAAAGTATCCAGAACTTTGAAGAAAGAGCGAATGCATCCTTATCACCTGCAAAAAGTTCAGCGGCTTGAAGAAGGCGATGAAGTTAAACTTTTTTTTTGTCGGTGGATTTTGAATCATCCGAGAACAGTTTCGAGAATTTTATTTACGGACGAATCACAGTTTACGCGCGATGGTATAACCAATTTGAGGAATTCCCACATATGGGCACATGAAAATCCCGATGAGAATTCACAGCACAAGTTCTCCCTAAATGTATGGTGTGGTGTGGTGGATAACGTTTTGATAAGGCCTCATTTTTTCGAGGCACGACTGACAGGGGACTTATATCTGAATTTTCTTCAGAACGTTCTGCCTAACTTGTTGGCGGCGCAAAATGTGAATGAAAGAGGTCTTTACTTTCAACAGGATGGGGCACCTCCACATTTCTCAATACAAGTGAGAGAATACCTGGACACCCATTTTCCTAACCGCTGCATAGGTCGTGGCGGCCCTCATTCTTGGCCTCCTAGGTCCCCTGATCTCACAGTTTTGGACTATTTTCTTTGGGGGCATATGGAACAATTGGTCTATCAGACTGAAGTCAACACCAGAGACGAACTGAGGGAGAGGATAGTTACAGCTGCAGATATAATCAGAAATAATAGGCAAATTATTGGAAAAGCCATAAGAGGTCTGCCGAAGAGATGCAGAAAATGTTTAGAAATTGGAGGAGGACATTTTGAGAATCTTGATTAATATTAAGATTCTGACAAATCTTTTTCGGAAATTATGATAGTTATTTTCCGAAATCAAGTCCGGTCCTGAATTTTTTATTGAATTATACCTTTTCTCAAGTGTGCTGTTGAATATTTTCAGGGAAAAATTTGATATAATTACTTTTAGTCGAATGTAGAGAGTGATATGCCCGGACGAAATCGAAGAAAAATTCATCGGTATTTTGTTTTATATTTTTTTAACAAAACGATCGAAGTGTGTCGTACGAATTGAAAAGCCATACTTGTAGTATTCTTCCTGATCTTTCTGATTCTGATAAAAGTTCTCGAAAAATCCGATCCAGAAGGTCAAAATTTTGACATCTAAAGAGAAACTGAGTTTTCCAAGTACGGATCTGGAATTTTGTATCCATAGTACGTCATCTTGTGGAGTGTCATTAGAGGTAAGTTGCTAGTGAATTTCAGCCGATAACATCGAGACGTTCCTGAAATATCGTTCATTGGAGTTTTGCCCCGAATTCAAATAATGCCCTGTATTTCTGTAAAGAATAGGCAAAAAATATTTCATTATATATATATCAACTCACCTTGACCTCCTCTATCCGCCATTGGGCTATGGCTGGTTAGTCATGACTCACCCTGTATATAGTGAATTTTTCTTTTAGGCTCATGATAGGAAAATTCTTTAAACGCAGTGCCATTTTGGGGCAAATCATCTGATTTGTCCTTACTACACGTATATTGAAATAATATCCATATTTTCATTTTATAGAAACGAGGAGAGAAAATCCCAAAAAATTTGGAATAATGAGAACATACCATTTGAACTCGAATATCTCCAGAACGCCTTGTTGGAATTCAGAACACTTTGAACTGCTAGTGTCAGAATTTAACTTTGCAATTGCAATGATGTATAACATGACCCTTATTTCCCATTCAAATTATTGAGGGAGTTGCTCTGGGGAGTAGAGAGTTGAAGTATGAATTATTTATTTCTCTTCAAACGGTGTCTCCATCCAAATAAAAATCGACGTGTATTTTTATCATTTTGTAAATTCATTTTTCTGAGAGATATCGAGGGGGATAGTGTTAAATGAACCATCCAGTATGTTGCAGATGCTAACCACATATCCATTTTTCAGGGAGGGACAGTTCTTGGGTTTTGGCATATTTTTTTGAAACGTTTCGCATATGGGAATAGACTTTTTCAATCTCAATTTTCTATATAAAATTCACTGGTCTCAACCAGAGCTATTTCTTCGTTACCTTCTGTACGGGAAATTAGGGAAAGCGTGGTAATTTCCAATATAGAAGATAACGAGGGAAAACAAGTTATTAATTATTAATAAAATGAAAAATACAAATGAGAAATGCTAACAAAGAAATAGCTCTGGTTGAGACCAGAAAATATTATGTAGAGAATAAAGATTGAAAAAACCTATGACCTCTGGTGAAACGTTTCAAATGATACTAAAATAACATATTTATTTACTGAATCCAAAACCCGAGAACAGTCCCTCCCCAAAAAAACATAGAAGGATTCAACAACGCATCGTAAAAACAATTACATATTTAGATAATTTGAGCCGATATTTGAGCAATATTGTATTATTTCAGAGTCCTGAACAGGCGGCGCAAACAGCCCTTCACCTTGCTGTTTCCCGGGAAGTCGAAAACATAACCGGACGTTTCTTTGGACGATTATCTGAGACTTGGAAACCTCGCATTTGCAAGGACAAGACTTTTTGCGAGAAAATATGGACATCCTCAGAAACAATGATCAAACTGAAACCTGATGAAAGATTGTAATATATTTCAGATACCAGTTCTTTTTCATTCAGACGAACAAATGACTATATACCTCCTGTCAATATCATCCCTAGGAACGCACGATGGTCTTTGAAAATTATAGGGATTCCCTTTCGTGCGCTCCAAGCGATAAAAAAAAGATATAGAAATAATCATAAATAATATGATGATTACTATTTTCAAACATAGCATCATTGGCTGAAAATACTTCTAAATTGAGAACATCTGTAAAACACAAATCTTAAAATGTTGATCTGTTATTTGGAATAGAAATTCAAATACCCATAGTATTCAGCCAGATACAGAGCCTCTAAACAATTTGGACGGTGAAATATGTGTAACACCTAATTCGTTGTTCTTCCGTGCCCCTTCAGGTATATTGGAGTCCCAAAAAATATACATTTTATGTTGCTGATATCTTCGAGCAATGTTTTCAACAGTTGAACAGTGTTCCTCGTTAGCTATCTCATTAGACTGGTCATTTCATTTTCCCAACAGAGCATATGAGATACAACTGTTCAAATGCTTCATTGAATCTTCAACAATATATTATTAGTATTATTTCTCCTCTATAGATTTTTCACTTGTTTCACTACATCTGTCACATCGACAAATGTTTTGAAGGAAGGTATTTGAATTTACAAATCATAAATATTTACTGATAGCCAGCTTTCAACAAATATTACTATATCATACTCAGAACACAGCACTTCATTGATATGTTCTTGAAGTTCAGATTTAATTCTTCCAACATTGTGACAGTCAATTTTTATTAGTTTTTTGATCTGTCACCCATTTTATTTCCAACAATATGAAGAACTCCAGATTGATTGAGTATCGAGATACTTCACCCTTTCTTTTAATTTCTTCAAGTTCTTGATATCCACCATTTTTCATTATACTCTCGTTGAGTTGGTAACAGATCAGCGCTCAAACAATAGTTCAATGAATATTTCTCAAATCACAGTATGAAATCAGAAATGACCCACAAAAATGTTGTATGACAATTATTCATCTTTCAAATTGTTGACCTGCTGATCAGTTGTACAATAAGAACAATTTAACATTATGAAAGAAATGATATAATTATTCATATATCTTATTTATAGATATACCTACTGTATCAATCCTCAACTTCCATACATAGATTCTCTTTCAAGATGAACAATATTTAAAAACTAACGACTGAATTACATATCTACTCAAGTAATACAATATTTACGGGAGAAAATATTTGGCCACCCTTAATAATAGCATAGATTAAAAAAACAATTTAATCTATGATAATAGTATATTGAAGTATAAGGTCTTTCAAACACACGCGAATTTTAGACATTTTTAGACATCCCCTCTTTGGTTGATGTTGCGTATGTTGCCATGGGAACTTTATTGAAAAACGCGCATTTTTGAAAGTTGGCGCTTAGGCGATCTTCAAATGAGTATATTATAGTAGGGTATCAATAAAAAATCGTTATTCTAACTGAAGTGCTCAAATCATTTTTAGAAAATGAATGGATTTTCAATCGGTATGCAGTGCTTGGAAGATGCGATCTTTCTGTTCAAGATTCCTCGTTCAAAACTCGTCGGGAGTTTTTCTGTCATTATATACACCAGATGTTCGAAAAAAGTATTACAAAAATGGGAGGATTCAAACGATTCCGTATTCCAGGAAATTTAACAGAAGAAAAAATAATTTTTTTGGAGAAATGTTCAGAATTGATTACGTGATTTTTCAGATAAGGCAATCCAAGGGGGCGCGATATTCCTGAGCTGACATGAAATCAAGAAACCTATTTACCATTAGGTTTTTCATCGATGATGACAGTTGTCAAAGGTTCGACAGCAGGCATAAGTGTTGGTGTTGATTACAAGAAATCGACTTTTTCGATTGATTTTCGATTACGCGATGAAAAACCTAGTGATAAATAGGTTTCTTGACTTCATGTCAGCTCAGGAATATCTTCAAACCATTGTAGCATCGTTATTGTATGAATTGGTCAGAACAACCCAGAAGGGCCTCCTTGCGCCCCCTTGGATTGCCTTATCTGAAAAATCGAAAAATCACGAAATCAGTTCGAGATATTGAGCTGAAGGATTTGTGTTTATGGCAGCACCAAACTGAACAGACGATTTCACCAAATTCTGAACATTTCTCAAAAAAAATTATTTGTTCTGTTGAAGTTGTCGATGATTTCAACGCAATATGAATTCATTATCTAGGATGTGTTCCATCGTATAGAGTGGCAAAATGCTTTGGATGTGGCTTGCATAATTATAAAATAGGAAATGTTGCGACAAAAACCTGAAAATGAAAAATAATCGATTCTCCGCATCCTGTATGAGGAATATGGAAAATTACAAAACCGTTTCCAGATATTGGCTTGAACGTTCGAAAAAAAAGATTAATAGAAAAATGAAATAAAAACCCCTGGAATACGGAAGCGTTTGAATTCTCTCATTTTTGTAATTCTTCTTTCGAACACTTGGTGTATAATGACAAAAAAACTCCCGACGAGTTTTGAACAGGGAATCTTGAACAGAAAGATCGCATCTTCCAAGGCACTGCATTCCGATTGGAAATCCATTCATTTTATAAAGAGATATGGCAATTTGAAAATTGTCAAATATTTCAGTGGTCCACTTGTTTCTTTGAGCACTTTGAGAAGAGGTAACAACTGGAAGAGCAAGTTTATGTTGATATAGGGTGTATAGTTTGGCTAAAGAAAACAATTAATAGCACTAATTCAATTCGATGATGACAGTAACAGTAACAGAAAATTTGTTCTAGGGAATATCTCAGGGTGGCCAGATTTTTTTGGCGGTGAGTTTATACAGGGTCTTTATGAGTGATCGTAGCATCGGTAACCTATTAAATTGATTTGACGCTTTCCATTTATGTAGATCGAACACATTCAGTCGTTTCAATAGCTGTCAACAAAATGAAAGATAGCGGCACTATTTCAACGGCCACTACGATGCTATACTATCATTTATAGAAACCCTGTATAAATGAAAATTAATTCTAATTATAAAAAGGCTTTTCCAATTCTGATGTCCTTACGGCTCTAACAACACAGGAATGTCCTAGGTACGTCCCTTCTCTGTCCCGCGGTACAAGGACATATTGGGGCATCCAGGGGATGTCTCGCAGTGATTGTCCAGTAGACATCCCTATCCCTATCCTATTCGTGTCCCTGGAATATCTGATATCCATTCACATCAGAGTCATTTAATTTCATCAGAATATTGAGTTGAATTTTTTTGAAAATGTTTGTTCTTCTTCCGGAAACAAATTGTAATGAAAATAAAGATCATAGTCTCAGACCTCCTTAGGAAATAACCATTTTTCGCAAACTGAAATCGTGAATGCATAATGCCCCTCATTTTAAAACACCCAAGAATGATAATAATCATGCATGAAATCCCAGCAAAGTTGTATTTATTCAGGTTTCAGTTTTGTACTGTTTATAAATCTGTTTCGTACATAAATCTTCAGAAGGCATATTAGCCAATAAAGTAAGGAGCGTGCCTGATAAGCTGAAGGTCCCGCGTTCAATCGCTACTCGACTTTTTTTTTGTCAAAAGAATGTAACTGGAATATCCTTGGGACGTCCTGGGGATAGCCGTCCCTCGTACTTGGTACATCCCAGGGACGTACCAGAAGGACATTCCTTGGATGTCCGTTTTGTCTGAAAACGGATGTCCCTGGGACGTCCCTAGTATGTACTTTTTCCCGACACAGGATATCCCTGGGATGTCCTAGTATAAAATCAGGGACGTCCCTGGGAAGTCCCTAGGATTCACTTGTGTTGTTAGGGTGGATATCTCACTTATTTTTGAAGATAAACTTTGCGGTTTTCGCGGACGCTGGCTACTTTTTTGTTAAACTCACGAAACCGCAAACAAAATTTTCATAGCCTGCTTTGTTTTTGAGATACAGGACGAAATTGAGAATGATGCATTTAGGAAACACTTGTATCTCAGCCATATATCACGTGTTCCACGTGGAATCCAGTGGCGTAGTAATATTCTCAAATCCACGAATTTGCTTCCTCAGACAAATGTCCCTTGTCGATAGGAGTGAAATCCGATTTAGCTGTGCGATGCAAGTGAAGGAGACTTTTGTTCAGCGCGATTCCTCTAATCTCTGGGATAATCTGAGGTATGTTTCACTGATGAGGAATAAATCATAAGTTAATAGAAACGTATAAAGAAATCTTGTACCGCAGGATATTGCAGCAATATCATTATCTAGCTTTCCATTATTCTAAATTTTTTTTACCGGTCTACCCAGGCAAATATTCATCTCCAATTCAAACTTCCGACTCGTATTATTACGAGGGTAATGGCACAAATACGACTTGCCAATCGCCACCAACTTGAGATTTCGTTGAATGTAGCTACTCACTAATATATATTCCTCTGAAATTTGCACTATGTGCAATATGAATGAAAACGAATCCGCGGAGCATTTACTTCTACATTATCAATCATGACATCGACACCTTCATCTACTTCCTGGATAAAATAACAACAGACAGGCCCTAATCACTTTATGATTATGTTACAGGCATAAATACCAGTTAAGGTCTTTCGTCCTAAACGAATAACCCCACTTTGCTTCTCTATAACCTTCATTTTCCAGTGTGATATAAATATGACTTGTAGTAGTTTGAATCGCCTCATCATAATGTAGCATAATTATTGAGGGAAGAATTCATTAGGTCCAAGTAATAATTATCAATTGAATTTGTATTCAACCAAACCTTTCCCTACTAGATTATTTCGTATCTATAATTAAAAGGAATGAAGATTTCAAAGTTATGTTTTTTTCAAAGGAACACCTTGTATATTTCTTCATATTTGAATTATTGATGCTTTGCACTTTCCAAGACGATATAACGCTTATACGATATTTTGAGTACTAGTCTTCAAGATAGATGATTTCGAATTTTGTACCATATTTCTTAGTGCCTGATCCGCCTTGTATTTTTAATATCATGAATTTTCATATTAATTCTATTGCTGACAGAGATTTTCGTCACATACTAGTTCAAATTTGACCAGCAT